TCTAATAATATAGTAGAGTCTAGATCAGCTAGATCTAGATATAGAGTCTAGACCCCTACTAGTACTAGATCTAGATTTTACTAGTACTAGACTCTACTCTCTAGACTCTTCTACTTCTAGATTCTAACTGTTAGACCTCTAAATTGGAGAATTTTTTTTGCCAAGCCAAGGCCCAAGACGTACTAGATCTAGTATGAGAATCACACAGGGTCGACTCTCTAGAAGATCTTCTAGATCTATGCTTTGCTTGCTGGAGTGGATCTAGTCTAGACTTTTCTACTCTAAAGTCAATTGGCTACCACTCTCATGAGTGTCTCAGCCCCATATATGCAGGACTAGTAGTACGGTAATAGAAGTAGTCTATGAATATGATTAACAGAAAAGAATAAAATATCCACATATAGACCCTATAGGCCTACCTGAAGTTCAGACAACCGTCCCGACTTGCATGCTGCTATAGCCTGCATACCGTACCGTACCGGCGCGGGAAGCTTGGGCGGCAACGCCTGGGCTACATTCGTGGAGGTCCTAGTAACATCTTGATCTGCTGTGTAGCGGTGTAGTTAGGAGACACCTTTTGCTATATATTACGGTGCAAGGGAGACAATTTTATCGGCAAATATATGTATATATTACTGCGCATGTGCGAAGATCGCGATATCGCATTGGAATAAACTACCTTAAAAAAGAGGGTGCTTTTCACACCATAACGGATATATATTTTTCTTTAAAAAAATAATGAGCAAGATGCACATTATTACGTTGTTAGAATCACATCTGATCTTAGAAATGAATATCCCACACATATACGATTGAGAAAGCGAGATATATCCCATAAACTTTGTGTCTCTCAAATGCACTGTTATATCAACGCCGAGTATACACCCCCATATTTGAAAGGGTTTCTATTTTAAGTTGATGTACCCTTGTATCAAATGGACGGTGCGAACATTGAGCTACAATGTTAACATGAATATTCATGAAGCATTTTGGACACCGTTCCTTGTAAAACTGCATGTATGGGGTGTTGAAACGTAAAGGAGACACGAAAATGTCTCCCTAATCTGGGTGTCTCCTATAAGTAGGTATAATAACACCGGAATGTCTCCCAAATGTCAGATCTTTATATATATATATATATACATATATATATATATATATATATATATATATGCACGCGTAAACTGGATATATATTGTGCAAATGAATAGCATTGGTGTCCATTATATTAAATCCTTCTTTGAAGAGCGGGGTAGGTACATGAGCGTTTTGGACCATAATAGCGATGGCCAAAACATAATTGCTTCAGCTACTACGACTGTTTCTATTCAAGGTAATTCATGTAGTTAAAATTTGAAATATAAACATGGCATTCCTTTCTCTGTACTCAACGACGCGGTCACTCCCTACGCCCCATGAGAACGTGCATAGTCGAATTACGCAGACACTATGTGTAAGCCTCAGGCGCGTACGCAGGATTTTTTCAAGGGGGGGGGGGGGGTTTAACATTTTTAAATCGGGCCGAAAATTTCGCATCAACTCAGCCGGCCGCTGAATAAGCGGGGGGGGGGGGGGGTAAGAGGACACTATTTTGCTCCGTTGGGGGGGGGGGGGTAAGGTCGCCTTTTTAGGTCAGCCATGGGAATATTTTTTTTTTTTTTAATTTTGTTATTATCAATTAGGGGGGTTTATACACATAAAAATACCAAAGGGGGGGGTTAACCCCCAAACGTCTTCTTTCTCTAATGAAACGTCAAAAGAAACTGAATTTAGATAAGGATTAAGAGTCGAGAACGGTCTTCTTTCTCTAATAATTCAATGAAACGTCAAAGTTTCCGCGTTTCGCGAGGAGGGGGTAAACTCCCCCCCTCTCTGCACCCACCCCCCTAGGGAGCGCGCTACGCGCGCTCTGTAAGTGGTTCGTACGCTTTGCGTGCTCACTACCGCCCCCCCCTGAAATAAAATCCTGGCTACGCGCTTGATAGCGGCTCATGAAATGAAATGCAAGCACTACTTTAAACAAACAGAGCTTTGTCATTCCTTGCTCCTTTTTCCTGATTGAGGTGTCCAGTGGCGTACGCAGGACTTTTTCAAGGGGGGGGGGGGGTTAACATTTTGAATTCGGGCCGAAAATTTCGCAACGACTCTGCCAGCCGCTGAATAAGCGGGGGGGAGGGGGGGGGGGGGGGGGGGGGGGGGGGGTAAGAGGACACTTTTTTTTTTTTTTTGGAGGGGGGGGGGGGGTCCCGAAATTTGAAAATTTGACATTTTTCTTCGTTGGGGGGGGGGGTAAGGTCATCTTTTTTAGGTCAGTCATGGGCATAATTTTTTGTTTCCTTTTTTTTTTTTTTAATTAAAAAAAAACAAAGGGGGGGGGGTTTAGGGGGGTTTCTTAAAAATACACACATAAAAGAATACCAAAGGGGGAGTTTAACCCCCTAACCCCCCCCCCCCCTGCGTACGCACCTGGAGGTGTCTAATGAAAGGGCAGAAACTCAACTTTCTAGAAATATGATTTTCTCCTTGAAATTCAGATACCGTGCGCCAAATGACTTGTTGGATTCCTCTCTTCATATTCATATTAATCACTCATGCGTGAAATATGCATCAATATGAGTTGCATCAAATGAAAGAGGAGGATTTAAGCTTTCTAAATATGTGTCATTTATCAATTATAATTGTGGTTAAGTTATGATAAAACATGGATAATTCTCGGTTTCGTTTTTTTCTGGGACGCACTGTATAGGTAATGGCGAGCTTGCGACCTATTTTGATGAAATAACGGTGGGTGAACTTTCAAAAGTCAATGAGACATGAGAGTTCCAATGAAAGATCTAGTGATAACGTCCGTCGGGGCGGATGTGCTTTTCGTTTAAACAAAAAATGAATTATTAACGATATTTTGTGTAAACGTCCATAGGCTAACATGTTAGGCTGCTGACTCTGACGATAGGGGGCGTTGTCAAATGAGACTAAACGGAGCTATATGAAGATCCCCTCTCCCCTCCCTGAAACAAAAGGATAACGTACAGATCGCCAGTTGCTCAGATTATTGTCAAGACTAGTAGCAGCATTACTAAACAATCATGTAGATTAGAATATATTGCATCTCTGTAGAAATTTTGAAAGAAATATGTTTAGAAATGTGTCAGTTAGAGCGCACAAAAGACAGCCACCAAAAGATGACCTTTGACACTATAACACACAGTACACAGATGGCCGCATCACCAAACACTAAAGATGTGTAGATTATACTAAGACACACCTCCATACACACTTTGAAAGAAATCCTTCAAGAAATGTGGCAGTAACAGCGCACAAAAGAGACATATGACCTTTGACCGGATAAAGGATGGAACAACGAGGGCAGCATCACCAAAACAGAAAATGTGTAGATTGTACAAAGATACATATAGATTTTTTTTTTAAATGAAAGAAATCCGTCATGAAACATAATATGACCTGCAGAGCGCACACTAGGTACCCAGCAACATATGACCTTTTGACCCTATAAAACACGGGACACTGTTGGCAGCATCACCGAAGACAATAGGTGCATAGATTTCATCAACATACACTTCCATACTCAATTTGAAAGAAATCTGTCAAGAAATGATGCAGTTAGACCGCACACTAGAGTGCACACAAGACATCTATCAAAATATGACCTTTGACCCTATAAAAGATGGAACACTAGAGGCAGCATCATCTAAATCTATAGGCTTGAAGATTATACCAAGATACACCTTGATTCAAAATTTTAACGAAATCCCTTGAAAAATGTGGCGTATAGAGCGCACACAAACCATCCAAAAATATGTAGCCTTTTACCGTATAGAAGACGGAACATTGGGGGCAGCGTCACCAAAAGTTATAGGTGTGGAGATTATACTAAGATACTCCTCCATACACAATTTGAAAGAAATGCATTATTAAGGAATGTGGCAGTTAGAGCGCACACAACAATATGAGGCGGCCGCCTACCAAAGCGAGGTGACTGGCAGCTCCCAGTGGAGAATCAAGCGCCATGTCGGTCCTGATTTATACGTTCCACTGGGAGACTGCCATCCCGCTGGAGACGGCAGTGAAAAAGGTTGACGGGTCATGCAAGAGGTGCATGGGGCACAGAAGATTCTCGCGTGCGGAGAAGAGCACGAAAGACGAGTTGACTCGACTGTAGTGGTAACAGGAGTGAAGAAAATCTCGTAATGTTGAAATACGCGGGGTGAACGATGCGCTGAACCACGATGCGTGATTTGAGGGATGAACGCACGTGGTCCGAATAAATGAATGTAAATAAGTCGCGTAATAGAAAATGTATACGATAAAAGTGCAAATGTATGAGACGCTACAACCTTATCAATACAGTAACAATAAACAGTAAACCGGCTAAAGATCTATAACACGTCATGGTTCTGAGTTAGATTGACAGGCTATGACATCATCAGGCTCGTTCTCAAGAGCGGCGTGTGGAATTTTTCTATCTTTCCAAATCCAGTGTACACCACACGCACCGGCAATGAGAATTAAAATGGATGACACGCCAGCAAAAACGAAGGCTCCGATGACGGACGGCCTCTCTGTTGTATCTGCAAACAAAGACACACACAAAACAAATTTTTCTTTTTTTTCTTACGAGTATTATACACCGTTCAAGATTCAAGCTTCACGTTTTACTATTGCTTATGGTAATACGGATACTTAACTTCTATTGGCTTACCTTCAAGAACTGTTGTTTTCTAAAGCTTCATAATATGCGGGTGGAAATCGACCGTCCGATTTTGCTAAAATTTCTTTTAGGATAAACGTTCTGTTTAACCTAGATTATGCCTGATAATCTTACCATGCAACACACAATGAATGCATCTTAACCACTTCGCTTCCATTGGCAGCAAATCCCAGAAAGGAATAACAGAATCGTATTGTAAATGTGGACTGAAATATGCTATTCTTTCCTGAATCCAAAATACCTGTAATATTTCTTGAAAGTAGTAATGAGGAACATATTTATAGCCAGATTTTATGCAATATTGGATCATTTAAGTAAACATAAGTTTTGTGAATATGGAGGCATATTTCTAATGATGTAGTCGTAATGGGGAACACACCCAAATCAAAATGTATTACACATTTTGATCAAAGACGTAAAACCAAGAATATTTACGGAGAAAGTTTATTTATAAATTTGTTGGAAAATCTAGAGGCAAAGATGAGGTTATGTGACAGAAAAATACAAAAGAATACAAAAACACAAGAACAATGATACACTGACTTACAACACCGCACTCCATTATATTTTATGCCATCAGGACACACGCCTCTTGATATCAACTGGATTTCGCAGTATCTTAATCCCCAGGATTCAAGACATGTTATCGTGCCGATAAACATTGGCAGGCCTTCTGGTGTTGGGACTTTGGTTTTCTACACGGTACGAAGGGAACGCAAATAACAACATCAATAAAACATTAAACTGCGAAACAATATATGATTTTAACGCTAAATAAGGATTTATATTGAAATGCCATGCACAGCTACATGTTTTAAAAAAGAGGGTAGAAAAACATCGAATATAGAAGGGTTGATTAATCCAATATAAAACGAAACCCCACGTGTCCAAATATATGCGCCAAGTTTTACTTTCCATGAACCTTCCATCCAGTTAATGGTGATATCCCCATAAAGTAGCATTCCAAACGAAATATGTAACCCAGAATCGCATTCTCAAACAGGGTCATGGTGTGGTATTGAATAAAAAACATAAACTGAATATTTTAAATGTACATTATTTACATACATATGTATTATATATATATATATATATATGTACCTTGTGCTGGTAAAAAAGAAGTCAAGTTCAAAGAAACCTCTTGGTTCTTCTTTTAAATTGCGTGCCAAATGATAACCACGATATATATAATTAAAATACCAGAATCAAAGGAAACGTGTTATCCAACATTCAATATGACAGAACCAATGCACTTTAGTCTGCCTTACTATTGTAGGGTCAGACTTTGCTTTTCTAGCATCATGAAAATAAAAATTATTACGAATTAGTCACGAAATCCCCCACATCTCCCTCCCCCTCCCCCTCCCTCAAGAAAAAAACTATGATAATAAATAAATAAAATTAAAGTAATTAAATACTCTGTAGTTATGGCATATTATCTGTTCGTGTCTTCTTCTGTGATCTAATGTTTATCCTACAACGACATTGTTACACTGTACTGTGTATATTCGGAGTATACCACCCAACAAATTTGTTGTCTGTAATGCTCAATTAAGAGACGGTTCACAAAATTATTGTTTTGTTGTTGGTGTCTGATTTAAAAAACAAAAACTTAATTCTCGAACAATAAACCAATACACATTGGCTTACCTCTCCACCATGACTATATCCTTGAGCATCGCATATCAACATAGCCGCTCGCTGGTCCATGTCGCATACACCGCCAGTTAGATGTACATGTTTTTCGTTGTTGTTGTATGTAACAAGCAATTGGCCATGCGAGTTGCCCTTTGAAGTGCCGACGGTATATATAAAATGTCGAGAAAAGCTTTCATATTCATACTCCTTCCAGTCGGGCGATATATTAACATTGGCCAGTAATTCGCTGTATTTGGCTGCTGTGATGCCTATAGAAATGACAAGCGGAAGGTAGGGGGTGAAATATCGATGGACATTTTGGAAGAAATCTGAGACATCGCTTTAATAGAATAATTGAAAAAATTCACGCTCATGTCCACCTTGAGTGCAAAGAGTGTTATTTTCTCGCAATGTTGCGATATTACATGTAACTAAAAACGAGTTTATAACTGAATAAATACTCTCGAAAACTATAATATAAGAAACAATATCAACTATCTGGTATAGATTCTCTTTTGTCAGACATATAAATATATCTGATAGCACTTAAATCGCAACAAAATTGTGGAAATTTTGCATACCACAGGTGACTGTAGCTAATGTTGGACAATATGTGTCGTGTTTCGTGTACTTGCAGGATAACAGGGTTTCCTCGTTTCCGTTGCAAGCGAAATTGCTTCCCTCTGTTAAAAGGGTAGGTATTGGCGAACGTGTCGGACCATACCGATTATGTGAAGTACTTGGCTTCGACCAAAACATAGCATATCCTTCAGTAAACCCCAGCTGTCTGCAGGTTACCAGAGCATCCAGTGCATCCCATCCGTCATTGCAGATATTCCTCCATTCACCTGCCACGTTGACCTAGACCGCGCCCTCTTTATCTGAAGATCCTTCATGCAAGCGAACAGAACTATCAACAGCAACTACATGGGATTCAGAATATCAGGTAAAAGATATTACTTATCTTATTTTAGTGAGAGAGCGGATACATACATATACATCTACATCTTTCCACGAACATCCGAAAGTGTCATGATTGTAAGTGCTCATGCAGTGATGCTTTGAACAATCAATGAGAAACTGTCCGCCTCAAAACTTAATTTCGGCATTTATCAATTTATCAATTTCGATCCATAAAACTTCATCGACATGCGTGCTATACTTACATGCCCTCTTGTAATAAATCAATACGAGAAAGACCAGTGTCTTCAGTTGAAAACTCGAGGTGGGGAAGAAAGCCATGCTGAATTACCGACATGAGTTTTCTTTGCAATCATCCTGTGTTGTGTGTCAATCTCTTCACGGCAACCCGCAGTAACCGTAATCGTTGAAATCGCGTGCGTTTTTACTCATGTAATACATGAATACCAAGACAGGGTACAAATGTAAATTTGCTGGACTTTAAATCCAATATGAGCGAACTTATAGTGTGTATACATGTCGAACATTCAGATGACACTGATAGTCATGTGCTTGGAGCGAATTTACAGCTCTCTTCTTGAACCTCGGACCTCATTCGTCAAATTCACAGTGGTGACAGCGAGCGCTCATGCAGTGCGTGTATTCACTAGTTCATATACGCTTATCCTATGCAGTCTGTGTGCCCAATGTCGACGATACATTGTATGTCGAGGCAGGCGCGGATCCAAGATTCTTAGGGGGGCCCAAATTTGAAATTATGCAGCCAAATATTGGTACGTAATGGTTACACCGGCAGTGGCAAAAACGTTTGGGGGGGGGGGTCGACAACAAAAATCCCCATCACCCCACTCTTACATGCAGGCCCCGCTTAACGTTTCTCGGCAGGGGTCAAGGGATGGAGCCCCCAGAAGCTCAGGGGTTAAAGGCATTTAATTACTGTCAGATGAGCATAATTTTATACCTTATTTGTTACACCGGCAGGTCACGAATTGGCGTGGGGTCCAGGGGGCTGAGCCCCCGGAAGCTCAGGGGTTTGGGGCAATATATAACGGTCAGTTGAGCATAATTTTATACCTTATTTGTGACACTGGCAGGTCACGAATTGGCATAGGACCCAGGAGGCGGGGCCCCCGGAGGCTCAGGGGTGTGAGGCAATAGATTACGGTCAGATGAGCATCAAGGGGCCCGCCTTAGGGCCATTGGTTGGGTTCGGGGGCAGAGCCCCGGAAGCTCAGGGCTTTAGGCATTTAATGACGTCAGATGAGCATAATTATACCTAATTTGTGACACTGGCATGTCACTAATTGGCGTGGGGTCAAGAGAGCGGAGCCCCCAGAAGCTCAGGGAGCTTTAGGCATTTTATAACGATCAGACAAGCATGCAGGGGCCGCATTAGGGCCCCTGGTGAAGTCGAGGGGGTGGTGCCCCGGAAACTTAGGGGTTTTAGGCATTTTATTACGGCCAGATGAACATATTTTGATACCTTATTTGTGGCACTGGTAAGTCACTAATTGATGTGGGGTCTAAGGGGCGGAGCCCCCAGGAGCTCAGGGGTTTTAGACATTAAATAACCGTCAGATGAGCATCCAGGTGCCTGACTTTGGGCCCTTTCCGCTACTGTGTCGGGGAAAGGGGAATTCCCCTTTCAGAGCGTATCAAAGATAATAGAGGGCGTACTTGGAAAGCAGTTTTTTTTACTGATTGTACACCTTCTATTTTAAATAAAAATTGAATAAATAATTGATAAACAAATAAATAATGGTTTGCGTAATGTCCGATTGGCGGAACTACAATAACATACAATCCGTATCAGTAGTTAGTTGAGAACACGACGATTGAGTTCATCTATTTAAAACAATCATAAAAGGCCAGGACATCGAAACATAGTGTACAGTGCGTCCCAGAAAAAACGAAACCGGGATTATGGATTATAACTTAATCACAATAATAATTAATAAATGACACACATTTGAAAAGCTTAGATCCTCCCCTTTTATTTGATGCAGCTCATATCATGCATATTTCACGCATGAGAGATTAAAATAGATTTGAAGTGAGGGAACCAAAAAGTCATTTGTCGGACGGTATCGGAATTTCAAAGAGAAAATTACATTTCTAGAAAGTTCAGTTTTTGCCCTCTCATATAACACCTCAATCAGGAAAAAAGAGCAAGGAATAACAAAGTTCTGTTTGTTTGAAGTGATGCTTGAATTTTCATAATTTTATTAAAAAATGAATTCGTTTTCACTGACTGCCTGCCGTAGCAACAAACGAAATTGACAAAAGACTTAACTCCGTTTCGTTGACGATCTGCCATAGACGAAAGACTACATGCATGGCTGATCTCTCCTCCTTTTTAATCGAGAATGAAATAAATGCGAATTGAATTGAAATGAATTCTCTCCTATAGATCCGGAAAATATCTCCTCCTCCTCCTCCTTCTTTTTCATCTTTCTCTTCTTAAGCTTTTTCTCTTGGTTCTGTTCCCTTTTTTTCGTTTCTTTTCGCCTCTTTTCATCAGGGTTGATCAGACAGCAAGACATGTATTGTATCAAAACATCATATGGCAGATTCACGTATTGAACTGAATAGAATAGGTGACCTATCACATACACACTTACCATTATATAAACGTATTGTAGCCCTCGTTACTTTTGTAATTGTATGGTACCACAAATAAATGTTACTCGTTAGGATAAGTCTGTAAAACAGGAGGCAAAGAAGAGATGTATGTTGGTCAAACTCGTGACACGGACTGCCTTTTAATACAAATTAATTCGATACAAAATAGTTGAATACTCGTATACATGTACAAACAAACATAGTCACATAATTTAAACACAAACACACATCTATTGCTCCTATCCTACCACTATAAATGCTTACATCCAAACTTATCCTTGAAATGAAATAGTAAAGTAAATATCAACATGTCCGTTTGCCAATATCTACTCAAACATAGACTGATCCTTCACTTGAACGGATAATATATAGTAACTATTTACATAATTGTGCACGCGTAAACTGGATATATATTGTGCATATGAATAGTATTGTCGTCCTTTAGATTAAATCCTCCTTTGAAGGGCGCAGTAGATACAGGAGCGTTTTGGACCATAATAGCGACGGCGAAAGCATAATTGCTTCAGCTACTATATACCGTCTCTATTCAAGGTAATATATGTAGTTAAAATTTGAAATATAAAAATGACATTCCGTTCTCTGTACTCACTCCCTACGCCCCATGCGAACGTGAATAGCAGACACTATAGCCCGAATTAACAAATAAGGTTTGTCGACAAACCTCCTTTTGTTTCGACAAACCTCCTTTTGTTATTTACAAACCAAGTTTGTAAAAAAACGCGTCAAAACAACACGTCATATGACGTATATAAACCTCGGTTTGTCGACAAACCTCCTTTGTGAATTCGGGCCTCTGTGTAGGCCTATCAGAGATCAATAAATATAAAGATGTAACCAAAGTTCAACCCAATCCCTGGAAAATCGGGAAAATATATAAGTGATTATTTTTGATGAGGTATTTTTAGATCCTAACAAAATAAACGACATAATAATTCAATGCATATTATACGAAAGTACGGACTCATAGACTAGCAGCGTCTGCGCCATTTCAGTACGTCCGAATGATATTCCCTTCTGAGATGGAGTCTCTCAAAACTTTATCAAATCGAAAATACTGCATATAGGAAACCGTAATTATATTACCCGAACTAGAAAATATCGAATGCTAACTAGAATCAACATAGCGTTTAATGAACAAGAAATGTATATTATCTCATATCTTTGAGTTAGAAAGCTAATGGTAGTAGATAATGTGAAATGTAATAGTATTTCTTCCATCAAGTTGTAATTTGCCAGATACGAATATGTATTCGCGAATACTATTTACCCATACAGTATATATATAACACTAATAACTTTTCTCAACTCAAATTGATGCTCAAAAATGCTCTCTCCACATGTGTTATCGGAGCTAAAAGAGGTAATAACGAAAACAGATATCTGTTTTGCCCCAAAACAAGCAGCCCTAGAATTGATAAATTCGAAATGGAAAAATTATTTACACATATATACAGATGGATCAAGATCGCCAGATAAGGACTCTTTTCATGTATCTTATTATGATGTTTCTCAATCTAAGAGACTGGCTAATTACACATCTTCTTATATAGAGCAGAAATGGCCACAATTGTACTTACCCTAACATGGTTATTACAACTCCCAGAACTCTACACCGGGGCAGTCATATTTTCTGATTCTTTGAGCTTACTCCAGGCCATAGAATCTCGTAAAGACGAATCTTTCATTCTTGAAATTTTAACTCTGTGTAGTCAACTAAAATACAAGGGCACCCAGGTCAATTTCAAATGGATTCCCAGTCATTGTGGTCTACAACACAATGAGATAACAGATAGGTTTGCTAAAGCAGGACTAAATAAAAATATAGAAATCAACAACGCTCTTGCCAGAGCAGAATCAAATTATGTTATAAAGAAATACTACATAGAGATATGGCAAAAAAGATGGAATGAAACATCATCCCCCCCCCCCCCCTACGGGAAACGCAAACTCTAGTATCAAAAACATTTGTATGTTACTTGAACAACAGAAATCATGAAACTGTTCTTCATCGCCTAAGAATGGGGAACTTAGGTTTAAATGCAACTCTATTTCAATTGAATCAACATGGGACCGGTCATTGTTCAAACTGTGAGCACGAAAAAGAAACAGTTAAACATTTTGTTTATGCAAATGCCCACTCTGTCTTATAGAGAGAGCCATGCTTATAACAGAATCTGGCATAGAAAACGAAAAAGTAATCCCAATACTCCTGAAATCAACAGACATTAATCACCAACAGGCTCTGGTCAATTTCGTAGTTAGAACTAAAAGGGTACACCTGTACCCCTAATAACCACCTTGCACCGCACATAATTATTTGAGCCGAAGATGTTTCGCTTTTTGTAGTGAGTAATACATGAAGAAGAGTGAGAAAGAAAAAAAAGGGGGAGAAATTAGAAGAGAAAACTGCCTATATTAAAGGTACTATGTCCCTTTTGCAGCCAACCTCAAATGCTGTAGAACTTTGCAGGAATTATGAATATGTCATGTATGTCCTATCTGTGAACTTTAAAAGTTAGCAGTGTCCTCATATTCAAATTATGCAAGGAAACCCGTTTACTTGCTAGACTTCACTGTCAGACACTATCGAGTGACTGACTGGCTTTTTTTTTCTTTGGTAATAACATACATGAAAAGAGTTGTAAAGGGTACATGAGCATTTGTCTACATCAATAACCCACTTCTTGTGATGGCCAAGATTAAACTGATTGAATCTTTGCGCAGCATAAAACGTATGACCATTCGATACAATTGTCTGAAAATCAAGACTATTACTTTTGGGCTCTATAGCCCTAAAGTCGATTTGACAACTAATAGTCGTTATTTTCCAACTTGAAGACATTTTCAAGCCCCACCTTTTTTAGGGAAGTTCTAAATTAGTATTATCTTTCAAATGCAGTTGGAATTTAACTTTTTCATTTTTCTGGCCTGCAAATGGGACATAGTACCTTTAACGTTCCTCAAAATCACTAACTCAACTAGGTACCCGGAATCCATGGACGAAATATTGAAGGCCGTTCTTTTTAGTTCTTATGTAATATTCCAAAGTAGACGTGAGCCAGCATGGCAATTTGATCAATACCTTTAATTTATCAATCTATATACATTAATTTTTCATATTTGTTTTGTTTATCAATGAACTTGTAACCATTCTGTACCAAAATGACAATATTTAACGTAATACGCAATTTATCTCGATTCAATTATACACTATTCATTTATGTATCATGTATGGGGATCTCCTAGCTTCCTCACCATAATGTTACAATCTTCTTCTTTTACCCTGTTCTGTACTATGCCACTTCTGTTTTCCTCTCCTTTTCTCCTTTTCTCCTTTTCACATCTTCCTTTTCCCTCTCTCTTTATCCCGGTGCTCCTTGTTATCACATATATTATTACACTGCAACTTGTATTGTTATTGTTAATGTACTTTGCTATTGTATGTATTGTTCATTATAACCTGCCGTTTTTGGTTTTGTGTACATGATCTCTAATAAAGACTTGATTTACCACCACCTACGGTACATGTACGCACAAATTATAAAGCGGAGTGATATTTTTTAGTGATTCGCCTTACGATTAGCCTTGTTTAAATCGTTCTTGGTGTAACATCGGGATACTTGTTTTAATAGTGAGGAAAGAGAATGGATCATTTTAATGTGATTTATAATATGCTAATGACAAAGACAAAGGCAATATATTCATTACTTTGCTTTAAAGAAGACAACTTTGATTGAAGTAGTAGTGAAAGAAATAGTTATATCATAAGAGTTTGAACATAAATCTCAATATTTCTAGTTGCTTTACTCCAGTCTCAAACTTGATAAATACTCTTTGAAGGTCATGTATTTACTTGAGTTTGCTAACAAAGAAAGCAGTCTAAGAGAAAAGAACATATTACAGATAAAAGTGTAGAAAGTAATGCATTTTCCAGTTTAAATAGTTTTAACTATTTACTTTGTGAAAGGAACAATTTGTGTAATTTGAAACAATAGGCATTCTTTGTTTTATCTTTGCTATTCTCTACAGGATTCACACACAGTTGTTGAATATGCTATTCAGCACCACTACTGAGATACTCCCAAGTATTCTGCAGGATATTAAAAGGAAGCTAACTAAGCTCACGCCACCTTTCGTGGTTATTGTAGCAACGTGGATTTTTGACACGGTCTTTAACATAAATAATGTAGAGTGTTAACAAAATAATGTTGTGGGGTCATACTCACGTCTTTGTTAAAGCCTTTTGCATGAACTGCGTCGTGTGAAATACATCATTTTATGGGGCAACAGGGTGGGGTGTATGGCTAGTCATCAAAACCAGTCACCTCTTTACATGTATAATAAGATACCTTATCATTACAGTTACAATAAACAGTAAACTGGCAAATTAAAGATCAATAACAAGTCATGGTTCTGAGTCAGATTGACAGGCTATGACGTCATCAGGCTCGTTCTCAAGAGCGGCGTGTGGAATTTTCCGATCTTTCCGAATCCAGTGTACACCACACGCACCGGCAATGAGAATTAAAATGGATGACACGCCAGCGAAAACGAAGGCTCCAATGACGGACGGTCTCTCTGTTGTATCTGGAAGAAAAAAAGAAGAAAAAAATCTTTCTTTTCCTTCTTATTACAAGTATTATACACAGTTCAAGATTCAAGCTTCACTTTTTACTATTGTCAATGGTAATACGGATACTTGCTTTCGATTGGCTTACCTTCAAGTTTTAATTTCTTCGTTTAAAAAGAAAATTAAGAACTGTTTTTTTCTAAAGTTTCATCATATGCGGGGTCGTGATTGTTGTAGTTATGGATATCAATGTCAGTACCGGGCAGTGAAATATCGACTGTCCAATTTTGCTTCTATTTTTAAATTATGGTAAACGTTCTGCTGTACCTAAATGATTTGCCTGATAATGTTACTATGAAACACACTAGAAATTCATCTTAACCCTTTTGCTCCCATGGGCAGCAAAGCCCAGCAAGGATTAAGAATCGTATTGTAAATGTGGACTGAAATATGCTATTCTTTCCTGAATCCAAAATACCTGTAATATTTCTTGAAAGTAGTAATGAAGCACATGTTTAGAGCCAGATTTATGCAATATTTGATCATTGAAATAAACACAAGTTTTGTGAATATGAAGGCATATTTTTAATGTCGTAGTAGTTTTTGTGAACACATCCAAATCAAAATGTATTGAACATTTGATCAAAGACGTAAAACCAAGAATATTTACGGAAAGAGTATATTTTATAATTTTGTTGGAAATTCTAGAGGCAGAGATGAGGCTTTGTGACATAAAAATACAAACAAATACAACAGACACAAGAACAATGGTAAAAATGTTGACTCACAACACCGCAATCCATTATACTTGATGCCATCAGGACACACGCCTGTTGATGTCAACCGGGTTTTGCAGTCCCTTAATCCCCATGAGTTAAGACATGTTATCGTGCCGATAAACATTGGTAGGCCTTCTGGTGTTGGGACTTTGGTTTTCTACACGGTACGAAGGGAATGCAAATAACAGCATATATATAAAACATTAAACTGTGAAACAATATATGATTTTGACGCTAAATAAGGATTTATATTGAAATGCCATACACAGCTACAAAAAAAAGATAGAAAAACATCGAATGTAGAAGGATTAATTAATCCAATATAAAACGAAACCCCACGTGTCTAAATACATGCGCCAAGTTTTACTTTTCATGAAGCCTCCATCCAGTTGATGGTGATATCCCCATAAAGTAGCATTTCAAACGAAATATGTAACCCAGAATCGCATTCTCAAACAAGGTCATGGCTAGGTATTGAATCAAAAACATTAACGATAAACTTGAATTCTGGTTGTTATTGTGTGTTTTTTAATTAAACGAAACGAACACTGAATTTTCAAGATTACAAATAAATGTAATTTGCCAAACAATTTTGGTAGAAATGTACAGTGGCTGAGTAACGAGCATAGAAAGATAAGGAAATCAAGGTGTTTGGCCCCCGACACCATTTGTGTAGTCCCATATATATCTTTCTGTGTACAGTGCTTGTTACTTTACCAAGACTGGGCCAAATTTATTATGATTTTGATGACTCCAGATCCCTGAAGTACACACCAATACTTACATGCTACATGATCAACTTTTCTGATCCATTCCACACCTTTTCTTTCACAATGCAATTGCATGACCAGAACTCAACTTTATCTTTAACTGCATATCTTAAATGTTAATTATTTATATACATATATATTAAATTCATAGTACCTTATGCTGGTAAAAAGAAGTCAAGTTCAAAGAAACCTTTTGGTTCTTCTTTTAAATTGTTTGCCAAATGGCAACAACGATATAAATACCAGAATCAAAGGAAACGTTTTATCCAACATTCAATATGACATGACCAATGCACTTTAGTCTGCCTCACTATTGTAGAGTCAGACCATACGTCTATGGTCAGACTTTGCTTTTCTAGCATCATGAAAATAAAACTTATTCCGAATCAGTCACAAAATCCCCCACATCTCCCTCCCCTTTCCCCTCCCACAAGAATAAAAAAATGATAATAAATAAATAAAAATGTTAACTGAATAAACTAATTAAATACTCTGTAGTTATGGCATATTATCTGTTCTTGTCTTCTTCTGTGATCTAATGCGTATCCTACAACGACATTGTTACACTGTACTGTGTATTTTTGGAGTATACCACCCAACAAATTCGTTGTCTTTAATGCTCAAGAGACGGTTCAAAAAATTATTGTTTTGTTGTTGGTGTCTGATTTTTTTGTTCAAACTTAATTCTCGAACAATAAACCAATACACATTGGCTTACCTCTCCACCATGACTATATCCATGAGCATCGCATATCAACATAGCCGCTTGCTGGTCCATGTCGCATACACCGCCAGTCAGATGTACAGGTTTTTGGTTGTTGTTGTGTGTAACAAGCAATTGGCCATGCGAGTTGCCATTTGAAGTGCCGATGGTATTTATCAAATGTCGAGAATCAAAGTGGGCCGGTATATTAGCATTAACCAGTACTTCATTGTATTTGGCTGCTGTGATGCCTGTAGAAATGAAAAGCGGAAGGTTGGGGTGAAATATCGAAGGAAATTTTGGATGAAATCTGAGACAATGCTTTTTTTAAAAATCTTCTTTTCTACGCTCATGTCCACCTTGAGTGCAAAAAGTGTTATTTTCTTGCAATACTGCTATATTACATGATTGTGACTAAAAACGGGTTTATAACTGAATAAATACTCTCTAAAACTATAATATAAGAAACAATATCAACTATCTGGTATAGATTCTCTTTTGTCATACATATAAACATACTTGCTAGCACTTAAATCGCCAAAAATTGTGGAAATCATGCATACCACAAGCGACTGTCGCTAATGTTGAACAATACGTGTCGTGTTTCGTGTACTTGCAGGATAACAGCGTTTCCTCGTTTCCGTTGCAAGCGAAATTGCTTCCCTCTGTTAAAAAGGTAGGTTCTGGCGGAGGTGTCGAATGATAGTAATAATGGGGGGGAGGACTTGGCTTCGACCAAAACATAGCATATCCTTCAGTAAATCCCAGCTGTCTGCAGGTGACCAGAGCATCCAGTGCATCCCATCCGTCATTGCAGATGTACCTCCATTCACCAGTCACGTTGATTTGAACGAATCCTTCTTTATCCGAAGATCCTCCATACAAGCGAACAGAACTATCAACCGTAGCAACTACATGGGATTCAGAAGGAAAAAATAAACTATTACATAGATCTGCATGTCGTCCACGCTGTTATTTTGCAGTTCTATGTTAGTAAATATTTGTTTTGTTAAGTACATTATTAGTACCTCCAATGTAATACATGTAATACATGTAATACCTTCGTACTTTTCTTTATTTCCTCATCTCTCTTGCATCAGCGGAATTAATGCCAGCGATTGAATTTATTGCCTGTGGCACGTGAATACCCCCCCCCCCCCTCAGTGATATTCTATTCAATTCAATTCAATTCAGAACTTTATTTCAGACTCATCTACACAAGGCAGAGGTCCATAAAACATATTTTACATACACTGTCGCTCATAAAGTTGGAATATTTTTGTTTTACCCCACTTTATGGAATTATTTTTAAAATAATTTTAAAATAATAGATCTAGATAATAGTATACATTCTCAGATGTTATTGAATAATAATTTGCCAATGTGTGTTTTGCGTGACTGCTAAAGCATGTGTATGCTGCTATGCTTATCTACTAGGGGACCTACGCTCTTCAGTCATAAATGACAGTAATGATGAATAATTCCCCACAAAAGGGCACTAATATAGCACATCAACACGGTTTTGATCCTGGGGCCTCACAGTTACAAGGCCATTGCTTTATCACTTAACCATGACTGTACGCAGCGGGGGCTAAGGTAGGGGGCAGTTTCCATAAATAAAATAAAAAACAGAAAATGCAATATATTTTCAATAGTTTATTGCATTTTACCCCGGTCCCCAACATAAAAAAAAACTCTGGACGGCCATGCATTATGGTACAAGGTATGGGCACACAGAGAATTTTTTTATGTTGGGAACCAGGGTAAATGCAATAAATTATTGAGAATTATTGCATTTTCTGTTTTTTTTAAATTTATGGAAACTGCCCCCTACCCTAGCCCCCGCTGCGTACAGTCATTGTTCGGTGACAAAGCAATGGCCTCGCAACTGTGAGGCCCCAGGATCGAACCGTGTCGATGTGCTATATTAGTGCCCTTTTGTGGGGCATTAATCCTCATTACTGTCATTTATGAATTAAAGGCGTAGGTCCCCTAGTAGATAAGCATAGTAGCATAAACATGCTTTAGCAGTCACGCAAAACACACAATGGCAAATTATTATTCAATAAAATCTGAGAATATATACTTTTACCTAGATCTATTATTTTTAAATTAATGTTAAAATAATTCCATAAATTGGGGTAAAACACAAATATTCCAACTTTATGAGCGACAGTGTAGATATATAGGGAGTATAAACATGATGAGTATAATAACAACAATCTTACAAAGAGTATAACTAAACTATACTAGGCCTACGTACAAACAATCTGAACTCTAATTAGGGTAAACGTTTTGCTTTACCTAAATGATTTTCCTGATAATCTTACCATGAAACACACTAGAAATGCATCTTAACCATTTCGTTTCCATGGGCTGCAAATCCCAGCAATGAATAAGAATCGTATTGTAAATGTGGACTGAAATATGCTATTCTTTCCTGAATCCAAAATACCTGTAATATTTCTTGAAAGTAGTAATGAAGAACATATCTAGAGCCAGATTTATGCAATATTAGATCATTGAAATAAACACAAGTTTTGTGAATATGGAGGCATATTTTTAATGTTGTGGTAATAATCGTGAACACATCCAAATCAACATTTCTTGAACATTTGATCAAAGACGTAAATCAAGAATATTTACGGAGAAAGTATATTTATAATTTTGTTGGGAAATCTAGAGGCAGAGATGAGGCTATGTGGCATAAAAATACAAACAAATACAAAAGACACAAGACCAATGATAAAAATGTTGACTCACAACACTGCACTCCATTATATTTGATGCCATCAGGACACACGCCCGTCGATGTGAACTGGGTTTTGCAGTAGTCTAATCTCAATGAGTCAAGACATGTTATCGTGCCGATAAACATTGGTAGGCCTTCTGGTGTTGGGACTTTGGTTTTCTACACGGTACGAAGGGAATGCAAATAACAGCATATATATAAAACATTAAACTGTGAAACAATATATGATTTTGACGCTAAATAAGGATTTATATTGAAATGCCATACACAGCTACAAAAAAAAGATAGAAAAACATCGAATGTAGAAGGATTAATTAATCCAATATAAAACGAAACCCCACGTGTCTAAATACATGCGCCAAGTTTTACTTTTCATGAAGCCTCCATCCAGTTGATGGTGATATCCCCATACAGTAGCATTTCAAACGAAATATGTAACCCAGAATCGCATTCTCAAACAAGGTCATGGAAAGGTATTGAATCAAAAACATTAACGATAAACTTGAATTCTGGTTGTTGTTGTGCGTTTTTTTTTAATTAAACGAAACGAACACTGAATTTTCAAGATTACAAATAAATGTAATTTGTCAAACAATTTTGGTAGAAAATGTACAATGGCTGAGTTAAGAGCATAGAAAGATAAGGAAATCAAGGTGTCGGGCCCCCGACACCATTTGGGTAGTCCCATATACATCTTTCTGTGTAAGTGCTTGTTACTTTACCAAGACTGTGCGAAATTTATTATGATTTTGATGACTCCAGAACCTTGCAGTACACACCAATACTTACATGCTACATGATCAACTTTTTCTGATCCATTCCACACCCTTTCTTTCACAATGCAATCGCATGACCAGAACTCAACTTTATCTTTAACTACATATCTTAAATGTTAATTAGTTATATAGCCTACATGTATATTATATTCATAGTGCCTTATGCTGGTAAAAAGAAGTCAAGTTTAAAGAAACCTTTTGGTTCTTCGTTTAAATTGTGTGCCAAATGGCAACAACGATATAAATACCAGAATCAAAGGAAACGTTTTATCCAACATTTAATATGACATGACCGATGCACTTTTGTCTGCCTCACTAATGTAGGGTCAGACTTTGCTTTTCTAGCATCATGAAAATAAAACTTATTCCGAATCAGTCACAAAATCCCCCACATCTCCCTCCCCTTTGCCCTCCCACAAGAAGAACAAAATGATAATAAATAAATAAAATTGTTAACTGAATAAACTAATTAAATACTCTGTAGTTATGGCATATTATCTGTTCGTGTCTTCTTCTGAGATATAATGCGTATCCTACAACGACATTGTTACACTGTACTGTGAATATTTGGAGTATACCACCCAAAAATATTCGTTAATGCTCAAGAGACGGTTCACAAAATTATTGTTTTGTTGTTGGTGTCTGATTTTTGTTATAACTTAATTCTCGAACAATAAACCAATACACATTGGCTTACCTCTCCACCACGACTATATCCATGAGCATCGCATATCAACATAGCCGCTTGCTGGTCCATGTCGCATACACCGCCAGTCAGATGTACAGGTTTTTGGTTGTTGTTGTGTGTAACAAGCAATTGGCCATGCGAGTTGCCGTTTGAAGTGCCGACGGTATTTATCAATTGTCGAGAATCAAAGTCGGCCGGTAAATTAGTATTGGCAAGTACTGCATTGTATTTGGCTGCTGTAATGCCTGTAGAAATGAAAAGCGGAAGGTTGGGGTGAAATATCGAAGGAAATTTTGGATGAAATCTGAGACAATGCTTTTTTTTTAAATCTTCTTTTCTACGCTCATGTCCACCTTGAGTGCAAAGAGTGTTATTTTCTTGCAATACTGCTATATTACATGTGACTAAAAACGGGTTTATAACTGAATAAATACTCTCGAAAACTATAATATAAGAAACAATATCAACTATCTGGTATAGATTCTCTTTTGTCCGACATATAAATATACCTGTTAGCACTTAAATCGCAACAAAATCGTGGAAATTATGCATACCACAAGTGACTGTTGCTAATGTTGGACAATATGTGTCTTGTTTCGTGTACTTGCAGGATAACAGCGTTTCCTCGTTTCCGTTGCAAGCGAAATTGCTTCCCTCTGTTAAAAAGGTAGGTTCTGGTGTCGTACCATCCCAATAATGTGAAGAACTCTGCTTCGACCAAAACATAGCATATCCTTCAGTAAACCCCAGCTGTCTGCAGGTTACCAGAGCATCTAGTGCATCCCATCCGTCACTGCAGATGTTCCCCCATTCACCTGTCACGTTGATTTGAACAAATCCTTCTTTATCTGAAGATCCTCCATCCAAGCGAACAGAACTATCAACAGCAACTACATGGGATTCAGAAAATATCAGGAAAAAGCTATTACTTAGAGCTTATCTGAAGATAGGGTAGTCCATTTGTATGAAAGCAGAAAAAAATTAGAGAAACAGAATAGCAAAGAAATATTCCTTGTTTTTTTTACCCAACGTAGATAAAATTTTACTTATCTTTTTTTAGAGAGCGGATACATATTGATGATATGCGTTTTTCGCAGTGTAAGTCAGTCAGGAAGGAGAAAATACAGCCAGCAGCGAAGAACAAAGAGGGAGTTCTCAAGACTGCTCCAGGAGATGTTTTGGATTGCTGGAAAGCACATTTCAGCACCTATCTTAATACAGAGTTCCCGACAGACACCAACACACTTCGCAATATACCTGAACCTCCTCCTACTGAAAGCGAGACTACACCTTTTACCATAGAAAAGGTTAAAGCTGCGATCAAGGCTCTAAAGAATAACAAAGCAACTGAATTTGATAATATAGCAGCTGGAACACTGAAAGCTTGTGGTCCAGCAATGGCACAGATCTTCCTGAAGATTATCAACACTGCATTTACGCAAGGCAAGACACCAGTTGAGTGAAGCAAAGGCCTTATTACCCCCGTGTACAAAAAAGGGGATAAACTTGACCCAGCAAACTACCGAGCCAAAACACTGCTATCAGTGCCGGCTAAAGTTTTCTGCAGGATGGTGCTCAGTAGGATCCAAGAGACAATTGAAGAGCATTTATCGGAAAAGCAGTGTGGATTCCGGAGCTCCAAAGGAACCACTGATTCTTCTTCTGCTATGTGCCATATCCTAAGACGTTGGCGACCATGGAGTGCCACAACTCTCTATCCCATATTCTATGAAGTAATTCATTCTCCCCGAGATCAATTCCACATTCATAAAATCCCACTCATTAAGCTACTCATCCACAGAATCCTCCTTCTACCCCTACTTCTCCTCCCCTCGATTCTTCCAGTCAGTGCAAGATTTTCCAAACCATTCTTCCGTATAACATGGCCCAAGAAGCTCAGCTGTCGACCTCTTATATTATTCAGAAGCTTTCGTCTTGTTCCTGCCATGGCAAAAACCTCATCATTAGAAACTCTTTCTATGAAATTCTTAGCATCCTTCTCAGGAACCAAACTTCACAACTTTCCAGTCGCTTTCTTAGCTCTGATTTCAGGGTCCAAGCTTCACATCCATATATTAGAACTGGATACACGTAGCAATTGAGTACGCGGAGTCTCGTTTTCATCTTCAGCTTCTCATTCTTTAGGATGTTTTCTAACTTATAGAAAGTTGATTTTGCAAGTGCAATCCTTCTCTTGATTTCTTGCTCTCCTCTTGCATCGGCCCTTTCTGCTATAGACCACAGAACAAAAACAGCATTTCTAGTTCCGGCATCCTTGACAAAACCAAACTGCACATTACTAATTTCTGGAGTTAGGTGATTCCTTGCTCTTTGAATTAGAACTCGCAAGATGATCTTTGTGATATGGCTCATGATGCTGATGATTCAATGTTGCCCGCATTCCACTGCTCCAGGTTTCTTGGGAAGTGTAATAAATATCGATTTGCACAGGTCATCTGGAAATTTTCCATCATCATAGATCTTATTGATGACTTCAGTTAGTTTCATGACACCATAGTTCTCCAATGCTTCGACCATCTCCATTACTAGTCCATCAGGACCAGCAGCTTTGTTCCTCTTCATCATACTGATCGCTGACCTCACTTCTGAGAGCAGAATTCTAGGTCCTTCATTTCAACCAGTACTGATCCATCCCTTGCCTTGATGCATCCCGACTTGGAGCTCCGAAGTTTCTTTCCACAAAGGTCATCGTTTGCATTAAAACTTCTCTCTATCTCGGCGCACTTTTTGTTCAGCCATTCCTCTTTAGCTTTTGTGCAGTGGTCGTAAATTTCTCTGTCCAACTCTCTGTATTGACTTCCATCTCTGTCCTTAATCTTCTGCCTTTTACTCATCCTTGCTAGAATCTCCTCCGTCATCCATCTCTGTTTACTTTTCTTTTCCTTTTTAGGTAATGTCTCTTCAGCTGTTTCTATAAGAATGTCGCCCAAGTGACCTCCTCTCCCTGGTCGGTGAAACTATTAAATCTGTTTTGTACTTTGACAGTGTATCGGAGGCGAACATCACGATTCTGTAGCTGTTCGAAATCTACCTTCTGGATTGACTTGGCTTTTTTCATATTCTTTAGCTTACATTGCAGAGTTGCCACAACAGGAATGTGATCACTCCTACAGTCTGCACTCGGATATGTTTTAGCTTGTTTTACACCTCTTTTAAACAGTTCATTTTTTGTGTTGTAGTCAATCTGATTTCTTGCACGATCCCCGGGGCTTTTCCAAGTATATATCCTTCTTGGATGTTCCTTGAACCATGTATTGACAATGACCATTCCTTTGGCCTCGCACCACTCTACCCATCTGTTACCCCTTTCATTTGTGTCTCTAATACCGTATGGCCCTACTGTTCTACCATATCTGCCTCTTCCCACCTTGGCGTTCATGTCTCCCATGTCAATTACAATTTCATTTGATTTACATTGTATTAATTTGGCTGCCTCTAATTGCTCATAAAAATGTCAATATCTTCATCTGTGCTTTCCGCTGTGGATGCATAAACCACTATTATTGCCATGTGGAGAGGTTTCCCGTGTAATTTGACCAACAAGACTCTGTCGCTGACTGCCCAAAGGCCGAGAACATAGTTAGCCGTGAATGGATCCAGAAGCACCCCTACACCTCTTTCATGTCTTATCACTCTTGAATAGATCATCTTATGTTTTTCAACTGTGAATTCTCCACTGCCAGTCCATCTTGTTTCACTAATGCCTAGAATATTAATTCTCATCCTATTCATTTCTTGCACGACGTTGTCCAGTTTCCCTTTCTGGTAGAGAGTTCGTACATTCCAGGTGCCGATGCGCATGATGTTACGGTTACGGACAGATGCTGAATGACGATCGGGTCCCACCTGTCGCACATGGGAAGGCCTACCGAGCGAGGCACCTCTATTTATAGAGGTTCCCTTCACGCCGTTTCTCTTTGACTTTGAATTGTGACTTTCCATGGTATATCTTGGGAAGAATAATGAAGGTGGTTTCCCGTTGCCTTCCCCACCGCAGTGTGGTGACCATGAATATATCCATGTGAACACCAGTTCTGAGAGGCGCCGTTGTCCCTGATATAGGATAATCCGCCTGAACTCTCACTGCATCGCTGCTGCCCAATGCAGTCCCTTTTAGTCGCCTTTTACGACACGCAGGGAATACGTGGAGAGAATTCTATATGGCACCCACTCCCAGATGCTATTTTCATTGTCAGGCAAGTGCTGGAGAAGGCCAAAGAGAGACGTATCCCCATTCATTGGAACTTTGTGGACTTCAAAGCAGCATTCGATACTGTCTGGAGGAAAGCTTTATGGAAGTGCCTTCTTTCAATAGGAGTTGAGAAGGATCTGATTGACCTCATTAAGTATATGTATGATCAGACCAAATGTTCTGTCATCGTAAATAGTAAAGTTACGGAATGGTTCCAAGTTATGACAGGCGTCAGGCAAGGCTGTCTTCTTTCCCCAAGTCTGTTTAACATCTTCCTAGAGTTCGTGATGGCAGATGTCAAAAACCTAGACAGTGGGGTTCAGATGGGTGGCATACGCATCAACAACATCCGCTATGCAGATGACGCCACTCTGCTCGAACTCATCTATGACAAACTCCAAACATCAACAAACAAACTGGTAAAAGTCTGTGATAAATGGGGAATGAAATTCAACACAGCTAAATGCAGAATCATGACAAACGATGATGAGATTTCAATAGATGGCAACCCTATAGAGAAAGTAGAAGACTTTGTCTTTCTTGGAAGTGTAGTCCCCTCGGTTACCAAGGATGTCATGAGACGCACAAATCTAGCTTCCTGGGCATTTGGCAGACTGAGAAACAATATATGGACCAACCAAGATATTTCAAGAGCCCTGAAGGTCAGGATTTATAAACCCCTCATTCGTCCTATAGCCACCTATGGGTCAGAGATGTGGAAGCTAAGGAAAACAGACCGGGATAAACTGGAACTTTTGAGATGAGATGTCTGCAGACAATAGCAGGAGTCCATCTTCTAGATAAAATTAGAAGCGTAGACATCAGAAAGTCATTGAAAATCTCCAAGACAATAAATGAGGAAATATCCAACCGCCGCCTGAAATGGTTTGGACATGTGGTACGTATGCCACAGGGACGCCTACCAATACAAGTCCACACCAATGACTTTAATTTGCCACGGCCACCAGGACGTCCTCCCCTGAGGTGGAAACACCAAATCCGCCAAGACTCTGGATAAGCCTAGAGGCTGCCCAATACCAAGCCCAGGACAGAAGTGAATGGAGGCAGACCACCCGTAGGAGCGCAAGGGCACACTCCGTCCTGTGCACTTAAGTCAAGTCAAGTCAGGAAATTGTACATCTACATCTTTCCACGAACATCCGAAAGTGCCATGACTGCAAGTGCTCATGCAGTGATGCTTTGAACATTCATTGAGAAACTGTCCGCCTCATAACCTAATTTCGGCATTTATCAATTTTGATCTATAAAACTTCATCGACATGCGTGCTATATTTACATGCCCTCTTTTAATAAATCAATAAGCAAAAAAAGACCAGTGTCTTCAGTTCAAAACTCGATGTGTGGAAGAAAGCCACGCTGAATTACCGACATGAGTTTTCTTTGCAATAATCCGGTGTGTGTGTGTGTGTGTGGTATATCAATCTCTTCACGGCAATCCGCAGTAACCGTATGTCGTTGAAATCGCGTGCGTTTTTACTCATGTAATAAATGAATACCAAGACAGGGTACAAATGTAATTTTGCTGGACTTTAAATCCAATATGAGCGAACATACAGTGTGTATACATGTAGAACATTCAGATGACACTGATAGTCATGTGCTTGGAGCGAATTTACAGCTCTTTTGACCCTCCGACCTCATTCGTCAAATTCACAGTGGTGACAGCGAGCGCTCATGCAGTGCGTGTATTCACTAGTTCATATACGCTTATCCTATGCAGTCTGTGTGCCCAATGTCGACGATACATTGTATGTCGAGGCAGGCGCGGATCCAGGATTCTTAGGGGGGGGCCAAATTTGAAATTATGCGAGCCAAATATTGGTACGTAATGGTGACACCGGCAGTGGCAAAAACGTTTGGGGGGGTCGACTACAAAAATCCCCATCACCCCACTCTTACATGCAGGCCCCGCTTACGTTTCTCAGCTCAGGGGGTATAGGCATTTAATTACTGTCAGATGAGTATATTTTAATACCTTATTTGTGACACTGGCAGGACACAAATTGGTGTTGGGTCCAGGGGGCAGACCCCCAGAAGCTCAGGGGTTTAGGCATTTAATTACGTCAGTTATACCTCATTTGTGACACTGTCAGGTCACGAATTGGCATGGGGTCCAGGAGGCGGAGCCCCCGGAGGCTTAGGGGTGTGAGGCATTTAGTTACTGTTAGATTAGCATTCTAATACCTGATTTGTGACACTGGCAGGACACAAATTGGTGTTGGGTCCAGGGGGCAGAGCCCCCGGAAGCTCAGGGGTTTCATACATTAAATAACCATCAGATAAGCATATTTTGATACCATATTTGTGACACTGGCAGGTCACGAATTGACGTGGGGTCCAAGGGGCGAAGCCCCCGGAAGCTAAGGGGTTTTGGGCAAAATATAACCATCAGATAAGCATATTTTGATATCTTATTTGTGACACTGGCAGGTCACGAATTGATTGACGTGGGGTCCAAGGGGGCTGAGCCCCCGGAAGCTCAGGAGTTTGGGGCAATAAATTACGGTCAGATGAGCATATTTGTATACCTTATTTGTGACACTGGCAGGTCATGAATTGGCATGGGGTCCAGGAGGCAGAGCCCCCGGAGGCTCAGGGGTGTGAGGCAATAGATTACGGGCATATGAGCATCCAGGGACCCGCCTTAGGGCCATTGGTTGGGTTCGGGGGAGGGGCAGAGCTCCGGAAGCTCAGGGCTTTAGGCATTTCATTACGTCAGTTATACCTTATTTGTGACACTGTCAGGTCACGAATTGGCATAAATTAGCATTGGCCAGTAGTTCATTGTATTTGGCTGCTGTGATGCCTGTAGAAATGACAACCGGAATAGAAGGTTGGGGTGAAATATCGATGGAAATTTTGGAAGAAATCTGAGACATTGCTTTAAAAAAAAATTAAAATCTCCGCTCATGTCCCCCTTATTATTATTGTTAATGTTATTTTCTTTCAATACTGCAATATTACATGTGACTAAAAACGGGTTTATAACTGAATAAATACTCTCCAAAACTTTAATATAAAAAACATACATAATAAACAAACTTGATAGCACTTAAATCGACAAAATTGTAGAAATTATGCATACCACAAGTGACTGTTGCTAATGTTGGACAATATGTGTCGTGTTTCGTGTACTTGCAGGATAACAGGGTTTCCTCGTTTCCGTTGCAAGCGAAATTGCTTCCCTCTGTTAAAAAGGTAGGTTCTGGCACCATACCAGGTGTCGCACCATACCAATAATCTGAAGAACTCTGCTTCGACCAAAGCATAGCATATCCTTCAGTAAACCCAAGCTGTCTGCAGGTTACCAGAGCATCCAGTGCATCCCATCCGTCACTGCAGATGGTCCTCCATTCACCTGTCACGTTGATTTGAACGAATCCTTCTTTATCCGAAGATCCTCCATACAAGCGAACAGAACTGTCAACAGCAACTACATGGGATTCAGAAGGAAAAAAATAAACTATTACATAGAGCTGCATGTCGTCCACGCTGTTATTTCGCAGTTCTATGTTTAGTAAATATTTGTTTTGTTAAAGACAAGGTTGAGTTCTGGGAAGAGGTGAAAAATAATTTGTGAGCGTTCTCATTCTTATTATGAAAGTGTGGAAGAACATCAGATAAGACATGTTCCCTGAAAAGCATGGCTCTTTAAATGCCTTCATATTCTAAATATGTCATGTAACATCGTAAAAATCCAGGGTAGGATTTTTACACCATGTGTTCGTGTAGTCCCATATACATCTTTCTGTGTACAGTGTTTGTAACTTTACCAAGACTTCGCAAAATTTCTTATCATTTTGATGATTCCAGAACCTTGCAATACACACAAATTTTTATATGCTAGATGATCAACCTTTTCTGGTCGATTCCACACCGTTTCTATCACAATGCAATTGCATGACCAGAACTCAACTTCATCTTTAAGTACATTATTAGTACCTCCAATGTAATACATGTGATAACTTCGTACTTTTCTTTATTTCCTCATCTCTCTTGCATCAGTGGAATTAATGCCAGTGATTGAGTTTATTGCCTGTGTCACGTGAATACCCCCCCCCCCCCTCAGTGATACTTTGAATACTCAATAAAAAACCGTCCGTCTCATAATCACTTTCGGCACTTTTAATCAACTTCATCGACATGTGTGCCATACTTACATGCTCTCTTGTATGACATCAATACGAGGAAGACCAGTGTCTTCAGTTGAAAACTCGAGGTGTGGAAGAAAGCCATGCTGAATTACCGATATGAATTTTCTTTCCACTTATCCGTGTTGTATGTCCATCCCGTCACGACAACCCGCAGTAACCGTATCTCATTGAAATCGCGTGCGTTTTTCCTCATGTAATAAACAAATACCAAGACAGGATACACATGTAATTTCGCAGGATTTTAAAACCAATAAAAGCGAAATTATAGTGTGCAACTGTGCATACATGTAGAACATTACTGCTCTCTTCACCCTCCGACCTCATTCGTCAAATTCACAGTGGTGACAGCGAGCGCTAATGCAGTGTGTGTACATCTATGCACACTAGCTCATATGCGCTGACCCTAAATTAAGCTAGTCAAGTACACGTAGAAGCTAGTTTGTGTGTCCAATGGCGGTAATACATTGTAAGGGAATTCCCCTTTCAGATCAGAGGTATCAAAGATGATAGAGGGCGTACTTGGAAAACAGTTTTTTTACTGAATTTACGAACCCTATTTTAAATAAAACTTCAATAAATAATTAATAAATAAATAAAATATGGTTTGCGTAATATCCAATTGGCAGAACTACAATAACATATAAACTATATCAGTAGTTAGATGAGAACACAACAATTCAATTCACCTATTTAAAACATTTATAAAAGGCCAGGACATCATAGTACATGTATATGACACACTTTAAAAATAAGATATTTGGTAGTCCACGTAGCGTGACTAATATAGCGAGTGTTAACTAGATCAGGGAGTTGACTAGACATACAGATACAGATGACTCAAAACAAATCAATAATATAAAGTTCGGGATGGTATTTTATTGATGATGATACCGATAAGATGACGTGATTAATATAGCAGCCACCCCTCTGTATACGCAAACAATAGGCAGGGGCATTCACTGTCAGGTGAAGACCAGAAAAAGAAGAACCCAGATTTGTTATTTCACAAACTATATACTCTATGTGCTACGACCTTGTTACTCCTCATATTGCTAGGTAAGGGAAGGTAGGAGTGTGTCCGAAGAAGACCAGTGAGTGGAGAGAGGGGGGAGAACTAAGAGACTAATAGGAATTAATACATTGTGAAGGATGGTCATTTCAGGAAGGCCTAATAAGCGTTCTTACAATAAAAAAACATAAATAGCGAATATAGATAATCAACATTAATAGTACTATCTACCAGGGGCGTAGACAACGGGGGGGATGAGGGGGATGCATCCCCCCACCTCACAAGCTGGGGGGGGGGGGGTGGCATGTACAATCATCCCCCCCCCCCCTAGGTTTTGGGGAATGATATTTGCTTACTTAATAAGTCATAATGATGATAATAATAGTAATAATAATAATGATAACAATTATGATATTAATAATAATAATAATTATGATGATGACAATAATAATCCTCATCATTATTGTAATTGTGTTTATTGTTATTAGCCGCATTCACACGGTGAAAGCCAATTCAGACGGTAAAAAAAAGAAAATCTTACAAGTATTTTGTGGTTATCTTGTGGTTTGGAAACCACAAGATAACCACAAGATTAAACAGGCGCGGATCTACGGGGGGGGGGTTAGGGGGTTTAAACCCCCCCCCCCCCCCTTGGGCGGCCCAAAAAAAAAAAAAAAAAAAACAAGGAAAACGAAAAGAAGAAAAAAAAGGAAAAAAAAAGAAAAAAGAACGCACGCTGGAGAGAAACCCTTTCAAGTGCAAATATTGTGAGAAGAGATCCAACTCATCTGGTAACTTAACCAAACACATGATAACTCTGGATATAACTGTGTATTTAACTGTTACTTGATTTAAAAAGACGTTATCATGCACTGCTTTTTATGGTCTCCATTGTGTTAATAGATGCCAGGAAAACATCACTTACGGGGTTCAAATAAACACCCCAAAAAAAATCGGCTCGCCGCTTCGCGGCTCGTGGACGATGCTCTGCATCGTCATTATTTTGGTCAACCCCCCCCCCTTAGCAAAAAGCTAGATCCGCCCCTGAGTCATCTCCCCCCCCCCCCCAGGTGTACAAACCTGTCTACGCCACTGCTATCTACTGCATCGCCCATGATTCTCACTGACCAGTAGTGTAGAACGCCGGTTACGTAGGGGCGCGTTACTCCTTATTACAAGCTAAACATATGAAATTATGCATGCATTTGCATAATTAACAATGAAGAATCACTTTGAAATATAGCGTGTTGTGTAGAAAATATGTAGATAGAGTCATTACAAGTATGAATTGATACATTACGAACAGTTCAAGTTTCAGTTCAAGATCACTTTATTCAATCCTTTAATTGAAAATATACAACATAAGTAAGGTAAATAAACATTATAATTTCTTTAATTAATATCAATGTATAACAAGCAGAGAAGACAAGAAGAACAAGTACATTAATGAAAGTAAATGATTTGGAAACAAGACAGGAAGGCCGGGTCGTATGTAAAAGCCTGTCTCCAGTGATAGTATACAAAACTATGTACATTATTTAAAGAAAAGAAAATAATATACTTTCATACAAAACTGTATATTCCATGACAGAATATTTATAACAACGTTTAATATGCGTGCAAATATTTGAAATATTACAATGAAAATAATTTGATATTTGAAGTTATGTGGAAAATATATAATAGAACTCTTACATAATATTAAGTTGATAAATCTGAAAGTGTACTCTTTTAATTAATGGGTATAATACATTTGAGACAGGTTTAACATGCCCGAATTACAGCTGTTACACGACCTCTTCCTTTTTCTTATTTCCTTCTCTTCAAATAATTAATGCATTAGAGGAAGGAAAAAATCTCCATCCACACGATTAAACTTTGTATGAACATAATTATGTATATCCTTTGATTGTTACATACAGAGGAAAATCTTGAGGAGTAATGTAATTAATGCCTTGCATTTTTGTTCAATGCTTACGGTCTAAGGATCCTTTATTTTCATAGTCTTCTTCCAAATACTATTTCGAACATGTTTCCTACGAATCTCAGTATTGATAATTATAACACAAGAAATCGAACCAATTTTCATCGTTGTAAAATTATGTTTATGTATGAAGAAAAATCTCCTCGGTGTAATCTCCCGGTGATTTGGAATTTATTAGCAAAATATATTCCCCTTTGCAATAATCAAAGATTATTTTTAAAAAATCGGAAAATTTATTACTTGTCCAAATACTGACATAAAACATAATCATATTTTAGACTTTGCTGTTCCTCTGGCTTTTTTGTTTTTCTGGTTTTTTGTGTGTGTTTTTTTTTTTTTTTTAATCCACTGCTTGTTTTTAAATTTGTTTACTTGTCTTTCAGTAACAAAATAAGTTTAAAAACCAAATGATAATTTATACTTTTTGGGAACTTATTTTACAAGGCCCTTTGGCCTTATTTTAGTTCCCCTTTTCTCATTTCCGACTAGTAAATTTGGTATCTTTGATACTGTTTAACTTGTATGATTGCATGTAATTTTTTATATAATGTATATTGTTGTAATGATCTTTTGTTTTTATGGATATGGAAATAAATGAACAAATGTAAAAATGAAATGAAATAAATGACTTAGAGTAAGGTGTCTCAAAGGGAGTGACATTATCTCATTTTCACCTAATTATGTTCTGCATTTAACAGCCTGTCAGTTTAACATATTGTTAACATTGATAAATCATCAACTGATATTCATATTTTCTGATTGTCACAGTCACTTATAGCCTAATAAATCGGTCAGACACTTGGGTAAAATGCTTTTTTTTTTATCCAATAATTCATAACATCGAGTGGACGCAAGAGCGGTTGATCATTTGCCTTTCTTGTTGGGCTTGGCGTACAGATCTTCCACCGAGATGTCGTGATTGTTACCAGCTATGTTAAAATTCACCTCTAGACTAGGATGACGAATATCCAGTTGGTTATCTTGACTTTGTACGGGCTCTACCACCCCCTCGATTTCGTCATGTGTGTTGCGAAGATCCGCGTAGGCCCCTGGAAACGAGCAAGACGAGCCAAGACCACATGGAAGAGTTGTCGTAGCACACCCAGGTCCCTGGTTTACGTCTTTCACCGTGTGATAGATACTCTCAGAGTCCTGCAGTCCATCGGTTGCAGGACGGCCTTTATTTTGGTTTTGAACTTCCTTAGATGGGCACCATGTTACCCGCTGGCATGTTGGTGTCACCACTGCGAATGATAAGTTTTGTTGGGAACCACCTTTGTTGAGTTCTGCAGGGAGTGTATGGCAATCTCTCTTACGGTTAAAACCTTCTACATGTCCTCTTGGAGGTAACGCCGGTCGGTTGACAAGCGCTCCAGTGACATCACCGGTGTAATCATCATCAACATCGACATGCTGGACTTGACTGACATTCAACCGACAGCCCTGAAGCGAGTGAATTGAATTCGATGTCGCAAGAGTGGTGGGTGCCACTGCTTGACTGTCTCTCCTCTCGGTAGCAACACCCTCTCCACGATGTGGATCGTACCGGTAATACCGCAGTCGCAAGTTTCTCTCGCCATTTACATTCATCCTTTGGCGCGCTAGATACAAACATGTCGTAATGGTGAAAAGTATTGTAACGCTTGCTACTATGGATAAAAGAGTAGCGTATTTCAAATATTGGTAATCGCGACTTGTAGTTGTAGATTCATTTGAGTAGAAATGGACCTCAGTGTTACTCTGTGCCACAGATATTGTGATTTCTGTGGAATTATACGTGTCGTCTGCTGTAACTTTCGTTGTCAGAAATAGTCCCAGCGTATTGCTGGCAATAGTGGGTCTATGTGTTGAGCGATCGATCTGGGTTGGTGATACACATCCATGCATTATATTAATGGTTGTCTGCAACCAACCTTGCTTGACATTAGCAGTATAACAAATGTCATATTCTTCCACTTTAACCTTTGTAATACTGCGTATGTTTATCGAGCCCCGTGTTTCTATTCCACATACATGTTCATCAGCCATGCTAGCGTCTACAATAGTCGGTTCGCCCGGGTGCAGCTTCAGCGTTTTGAAGTTAGTCTTTACTAGCCAAACTTCCATCATACGATGTCTGCAGCCAAATTCTGATTCATTAGTCATAACATTTTCCAAATGAAAGAACATTGGGTAATGGCAGACATGAGATCCATGCATTGATACCAACCGACATTCGATAGGCATAAGAGCCCCTGTCAAAAATGCATTCAAACTTAACATAAACTTTACCGTACTGCTTGCACTGTAAGACTGTAAGCTGCTTAACGCATTCAATGTATTGTTTGAATGTGAATTAATGTGAACATCTGAACCATTGTCCACTACTGTTAGCACAAGTGTAGTTTCCCCGTAGCTGTACAACATCGCCTCGCATGATACCTCGAATTCTAAAGAGTCATATCTCAGTTTCATATCACAATTCGGCTCATTGGCGATCG